GAGGGAATATTCGAATATTCCTTCGCAAGTTGATGCCAGTTGCTATTTTTTTAACAATGTATCCCGGGGATGTTTCTAGGGCGGTCGCCCAGCAGGTAGCCCCGCAGCAGATTTCAATTATCCTTGCAAACTTGCCGCCACTTTCCTTTATCTTCAATTTGAATTCTCGGGCTGGGTCCAGGGCGGTTGTCCAGCAGGTAGCCCGACCCAAACTAGGAATTTTAGCTTCGAACTTTTGTGGCGAGTTCTATATTTTGCGCTGAAAACTTTTCTCTTCTGGAGCTACGAGCGAATTTGAGCTTAAACATCTCAAAAAATTTTATTTCCTTCAAAGTTTTACTCCGTTTGAATCAGTTTTTGTTTGAAAATTTCAAATTTGTTTTAAACACACTTTTTATAAACAAAATGACAACTTTGAGATATTTACGAAAGAAAATGAATATTTTTATTTTAAATTAAATTTATTATACACAAAAACATTTAAAATGAGTAAAATATAATAAGTACAAAGTGTACTTATAAGCTTCCAAAACACCATTTTAAGTTTCCAAATTCATTTTAACTCTACAGAAATGTTCTCTAACATCCATAGACCATTTTCAAACAATTAATTCGAATCTTTAACAACAATTTGAAGGTTCTTGATTCTAGGTTCACCAAAAATGTATTTTCCATTTTATGGCACATAACTCAACCAAATGATCATTTATGAACGTAGAAACGATCTATATGCATATTCTAAAACTTAGATATATATAGGGTCACACTTTAAGCTCAAATGAAGGAATTAGAAATTTTCCAGTGAAACTTCCGGTGACGATTATGGCTATTTCCAACGACTTTAAGCTCTTCGGGTAGCACCACTTAACTCTCCACACTTAGAGGGACACAAAGGAAGATGATGGATACACTGGAATGGGGGTATCCGGCCCAATAGGGAAAGCGGCCAAGCATTACCCAATTCATATAACAAATCAAGCCCACTCGGCTGAGCAGAATTGAGAAAGAGACCAGGGTCCCAAGGACACTACCGCATCTGGATACATACCCACGCTCAGCCCAAAAAGCACGTGCTCGGCCTCGGAGCATAGTCGGCCGACTCTCCGTAGGAGGTCCCTAAGACTAGGCCATGAGCACTCAGCCTGAGCTTCACACTATCGGATCTGGCCCACTACGCATGGGGAACTGCATGCCTTTTCAAATCAGTGGGCCCATGATAGGACCCCTACCACGCCTCTAGCAGATTAGCTGTAGCCACCCTATTGTAACCCATCATTTGAAGCTACCCTAATGATAATCATGTGGTTGGAGCCGCTAGTCCAGCGACTGGATCTTGGTAGGCCCGGCCCGTTAGGTCATGGACTAACGGTCGGAAGGCCCATCTGTAGTTTGTATATAAACCTCTCTTCAGGAGGGGAAGAGAAACATTCATTTTTGCATACTAGTAAGTAGTATCCATAATCCTATCGATTCTTGACTTAGTATACTCGACTCTCGTTCGATAGTCTTTGCCTAGTCTCCTGGCCCCCCGGGTTCTATAACCCAACATTGGTGCTCTTGTTGAGAGTGTCGAACACATCAAGCATGCTCCAAGAATGACTAGATCGAGAAGGGTCACCAGATCATCCACCGCCAACAACGGGGGTGGCATCAAGATGACTGTGATGGCACCAGCGAACACATGCCAAGATGACCTGGACATCAGCTTCAACAGTGTCACTAGCCAAAACAATACCGACCTTCGTCACTGCATTGCCAAGATGAACTCGACATCAGCCTCAACAATTTTACCTAATCAAAATGACTGTGACGGCACCAGCAAACACACGCCACAAACGGAGAGGGGCCCCTCCAGCAAGTATCTGCTAAGTAACCACGGTTGGGAGGGCAGTGGAAATACAAAAATTTAAGCTCCCAATAGTGAATACTAGCCCAAGAACACGTACTAAAACTATAGCTAGAGATAGAAAATTATACCTTCTCCGGTTAGCGGTAATGACGTTGAATCGGGGAAAGGCGTTGAATGAGCAAACGTAGCCGTTCAAACGTCCGGCCTCCAACTTTGACACACGAACAATCTCCGGAGTCTACTATAATCTTTATGCTAGTAAAGATTATAATAGTATATTTGATATAAAGATTTAAGAGGGATAATATTAATCTTGTGTATTAAATAGTAGAAAATATATCAATAATATTTTAAAGAAAATATTATAACAATTTTCTACACCCCAAATTATTTTAGCACCCAAAATAATTCTCTCTCTCTCTTCTCCTCTCTTGGCCGAAAATCTTCATTTAATGGAGAAAGAAAATGATTCACTTTATAAAATAAAATAAAACATAAACAATTATAAAAGGACAAAAGGGTTTGTCAAATTTTCCTCCTCCACATATTTCAAAGTAGGAGACAACTTCACCATGCAATGTTTGTACGAAAATAATAAAGGGGAAGGATTTAATTCTTCTCCTCTCAAATGTTTAAAGTGTATTTTATTTGACATCAATAATTTTTATGATATAAAATAAAATACCCAAAACATTTTAAAACAAGTATATAAAATATAATTTAAAATAGTTTTTGTCAAAATAATTATTTACATAATTAAAATGACACCCCATAATAAAATGTACACAATAATATATATATATATATATATATATATATATATATATACGTATATTATATTAAAATATTTTATTTTACTATTTTACAATATACAAATAAAATATTATCCCTTCTTTATATATATATATATATATATATATATATATATATTCGTACATAATATATATACGTATATTATATTAAAATATTTTATTTTACTATTTTACAATATACAAATAAAATATTATCCCTTCTTATAATCCTATTCTTTAAATTGTCCAAAGTGTGCGACCCATATAGGCATTTATAAAAACTGGCCACAGTATTTATGAGCACCGCAGTCATGATTGGAGCATGGCTGGATCCACCCACCAAACCGTCAGGACGGAGGCACGATTCCAGCATATACATCTCCGCAAAACTCTTTGCCGCCTGGTTAATGGCGGGGACATCAGATGAAGTTTCTTGGGAAGGCATGGACTAAGATAGGGAATTGACGAACTAACCTTCTCTTTGGACGGGGCAACGAAATATGGACGGGCGGCGAGTTTGATTCGATGCAAACGACAGCGAACGATCGGAACACAATCACAGCAAAACGACGAAGAGTGGAAAGAATTGGGAATTTTGAAGTATATATAGTGAGGGATCCGACCCGACCCGAATAAGGCATTACATCACAGCAGAATGGAGACGTGGAACGATCTTAACCGTGCAAAAACGAACCGGCACGGACGGATATCAAGAAAAGGCATAATGGAGGGACGTTACACGTCCCAAGGTGACAATCATGATTTCAAATGTGAAAATTCGACACGTGTAAAATCCTTTGCCGCCTTCTAGCACTCCTCAACTCTCGTTCACACTCAGGCTAAGCACTGGGGACTCCTATACTCGGCTCGGGATTTTCCAAGAATTTTTCAAAACTTTTGATAAATCCAGAAGATTTTATACTTCCACATTACCTCGACACACTCGTCTTGGAAAGTGGGAGACTAATGTTAGATACCCTGGAATGGGGCTATCCGGCCCAATAGGGAAAACGACCCAGCAAGGCCTAATTCATATAAAAAATCAAGTGCATGCACTCGGCTGAGCAGAACCGAGAAAGAGACCAGGGTCCCAAGGATGATACCACATTTGGATACATACCCACGCTCAGCCCGAAGAGAACGTGCTTAGCCTCGGAGCTTAGTCGGCCGACTATCTGCAGGAGGTCTCTAAGACCAGGCCATGCACACTCAACCTTAGCTTCACACTACCAGATCTGGCCCACTGCGCATGGGGAACTGCAGGCCTTGTCAAATCGCTGGGTCCATACCCCTGCCACGCCTCTGTAAAATTAGTTGTAGCCACCCTATTGTAACCCATCATTTGTAGCCACTCTAATGATAATCGTGTGGGTGGCGCCGTCAGTCGAGCGGCTGGATCTTGGTGGGCCCGGCCCGTTAGGTCATGGACTAATGGTCGGAAGGCCCATCTGTAGTTTGTATATAAACCTCTCTTCAGGAGGGGAAGAAGGTCGTTCATTTTTACATACTAGTGTTGTAACCCCATAAAATATTGCTTAAAATTTATTATAAAACAAAAGTAGTTTTGAATATCATTTGGCCCAATAAGGAACATTTATATGTTTGACCAAAATAAATGGATTTTCAAAATGATGACTTTTTGTTAAAAACTTATTTTTATGGATATGTCTCGAAGAGACGAATCCAATGGTGCAATTTATGAACAAATCTGATTTATAGATTTCAAGCTATGACGATTTTAAATATTACAATTTATAACTTTGACCCATAAATTAAACTCAATTCAAAAGAGATTTCATAAGATTAGAAATACCATAAATTAAACTCATTGACACTTGACAATACCATATTTATCATTTGGATTTAATTCATATATTTTTATCTCACTCATATTATTAAATTGATTTATCACCGACAAAAACCCAGACATTAAAAAAAATAAAAGTTCTCAGAAAAATATTTTGATTACGTCAAAATTCTAGTTTTGACAGTCTCATTCCAAAAATACAATCCGTTTTCAATTCGGAGCAGTTTGGGCGGAAAAGTGTGTACCGTTTGGAGTAAACTCTTCAGTTTTGGTAAAAAGCCAAAACTTAAATTATCAAATCTCTTCCAAATCACAGATCAGCCCCTCCCAGCTCCACTTTTGCTCCATTAGCTACCTAAAGTCCTCCCCTACATAATGCTTCCAAAGTATTATGCTATAATACTCCACCCTTATCATTATCATCATCATCTTCCACCATCATCACCATCATCTCATCTCTCTGCTCACCACACTCTCTCTGTCGGCCAAACATCAAGGAAAGAAAGAAAACATCACAACTTCATAGTTTGGTGCCAAAAAGAAAGAAGGAAGAACAAGAAGAAAACATAAAGTTCTAAATCCTAAGTCCAAAAACGTAGCAGCAACTTCAAGGTAAACACTAAATTTTTCCATCCATTATCTCGAAATTCTTTCTATACCAAAGTTGTAGCTTCGGACGTTACGAATCCACCCCAACAAACGGTTCGCGATTTCGTTAAGCAATGAAGAAGATATGGCCAAAATATCGGGACTACGCCAGTGGTGGCGAGCTCCTCGGGTTGGCTATGTGTCTTCACCAAATTTATATATATTCATTCCAACACTCATCATAAACTCTCTAATAATTATTAGGAACTTACGGGAGGTATCGTAGAGAGGGTTTGATGTTGGAATATTGAAGCTAATGAGTTGATCGTCAGAATCTTTGTTCATGAACATATTTGAAATCCTGGCAGCACATATCTATCCACTTCTAATCTATGTTAGGCATGTTTAACTTCATTATTTTAACATGGTTTCTTCACAAAAGTTATAGCCTTACATCTTAGGAATCCACAGAATCAAATGGTTTGCAATTCAGTGAAGAAACGATGGAGATATGACCAAAATACGGCAGACTGTCCAATTGTGAAGGGAATGACGAAGTTGGTGAATTTCAACGTTGTTTTCACTCCCGTTCTTTTGCAAGGTTTCGACCATTGATTTCCAGTTCTGTACCCTTGCGTTAGAATTATCGAATCATTCATCACAGATGTACATGTATATATATATAAATAAATTCATATGTTAAAAACATATCCAAAAATATATGTGATACATATATATGTCATCTATGTGGTGAGATCAAAATACACCAAATCCATAAAGTTAATATACACATAAGTAAATATTAACATTGGAAATCAACCCAACAACATGTATATGTTAACCAAAGGTGTTTAAAAAACTTAAAGAAGTATTTTAGACACTCAACATATCAAGAGTAAGATTCGCAGACCCGAACGGCCGAAGCAAACGGTCGACCGTCATATAAAATTATCAAAACGGACTACGACTGTCCATAGAAAGGTCGACTGCCGTAGCCAAATGGTCAACTGTCGCAGCCCAGCCGAATGCTGCCACATCCAAGCATCCAACAACGGTCGACCGCCGGTCAAGCACGCTTGACCGTCATGGTGATCCGATTTTCCGAGATGACTAGAATCACGGTCGATTGCCCTGTCAAACGGTCGACCGTTCCGAGCTCCGTATCTTATTAAAATGATATTTTAATCATGTTTCATCAAATTAAACTCATGCATGATTATATACTCATATTGTGTGCAAATTGTTCATATTATATGATTCATTTCATCATTCATATCACATCATATGCATGCGTAAGAGATCATGCCTCGTGCGTCTCTCATAGCGCGATTTCATATTGAAGCATAACACATCATATGCATGTGTAAGAAATCATGTCTCGTGCGTCTCTTATAGCATGATTGTGCGGGACTTAGTAGTTTGACATCACACGTTCGGGCTTACTATATGTACATGGTATTAAGGCTTTCGAGTACCACCCACATATTGTTTCTAGTCTCATCTCATTCGTGAGACTAAGGTGGCGTGAGTTCGCCGTACAAACTAGGCGAATCTCATAGCGCAAGGGTCATCCTTGCACGTTAGTTCATGCATCATGTTATCATCATCAAGTACAATTATATTGATTACATAGGTCGTCATGTAATCATCATCAAGAATAATCATATTGATTAAATGTGCCATCAAGTAATCATTATTAAATATTTATCATCATAAATTATTAACTTCATCATATAATATAATGTGCCATATGATGAATATTGTTATACATTTTTGTGGACGTATATACATGTATATGTATATGTCTATGTTTGTGAATTATTCTACAATTCTAGCATGGTACCACTCAGCGGTTTCGCTGAGCGTGTAGTTTGTATTTTTCGTTGACTACACGCAGGCAAATGTTTGATCATCAAGATTTTAAATGTGTCATGATTTGATTATTATTGTACTTCCGCATTACTCTGAAAATATTTTTAAACGGATCGCGATTCAGAGTCTGTAAATTTAACATTTATTAGTAATTGTCATTTTCAAATGTCAAGCGAAATTTTTATTTAACTCCAGTTTCACCTTAATACGTGTAATTCCGGGTTATACAGATTAGGGTGTTACAAGTATCCATAATTGTCTCGATTCTTGACTTAGTATACTCAACTCTCGTTCGATACTCTTTGCCTAGTATCCTAGGCCCCCGAGTTCTATAACCCAACAAAAGAAAAATGGAAAGAAACAGTGTGCAGATGAAGGAGAACAAGAGTCTCCATAGATAGGCAATGAAGAGGAGATGAAGCCAAGGTCCTTTGATTTTGGTGATGATTTCACGATCAAGTTTTCCGCTAGTGGAGGAGGCTATTGATTTAATTGATTCCTCTAATGACTTTGACCAATTTCTCCCCATTGGGGTATAATTTTTTGTCTAACTTTTTTCAAATTGAAATCCGTTTGCACCGTTGCGATCAGACAGTCAAACTCTACGCAAATATATATTTTTCATATTTATTTGAAAGACTTTTTCTGAGACCTTATTTGTGTATGTATGACTTTGATAAAGTCAAGATTGATCTTTATTCAAAAGATTCTCATATTCAATTTATATTATACAATCTAATGATTTATTTCAATAAATCATTCAAGAGTTTATATCTATGAAACAATTCTTTACTAAATCCTGATTTGGATCTGTACTCTGGTCCCTAATTAAGAACACACATACAAGGGATTTATCTCCACGAGATTTATCCATTTTGTGATATTGGATATTAAAACACATTCAATTCCGGCCCAAGCCCCAATAATAATTTATTTTAGTCAAAACAAATTTGTTTAATTGAAAATTAATTCAATAATACTTTTAGGATGTGTTTTGGGGTGTTACAGCTGTAACTATAAAACGTAAAGAACAACACTTGATATATTAATGCAGTTCGGAGAAACACTCCAAAATTTTCGGGACCCAAATCCATGTAATAGACCGCCAGTATATCACTATATGCAAGTTACACCGGTACATAACAACATGACGAGACACACTTCTCTGAGTTATTATAACAAAACTTCTAAACTAGGATTTCTAACTTGAACCTTGTTCAAATCTGCTTTGGCTATCACCTCTACACTAAGATCACAAGTAAAAACATGGTTGGCAGCCCTCTCTTTAAGCTCATGTTAATATTCTGGACATCACAATCTCTTTGGCGTTTAGAATCTCCTTCTTTATGTAAAATCCCTTTTTTGAAATTACTCCCCCTTAGGATATGCACCATAACCACATCTTGTTTCAAAAAGTGTTACGTTCTAACTCTTTTTCAGATCATCATGATTTTCTGTAATGAACCACGCAAAGATCAAGCTAATATTTTAAGCTCAACTACTCCGATACCAATTCAAATAATCAAGAGTTCAGTAGAAATCACAAAATAAAAGATTTGCAAACAAATCGAACAAAAAGACTGTTGATAGAATTTTTTAGCACTGTCACAGTAACAAATGACAGACAGTGTGCTATAACACCTTCTCCATGACAAGCACATACACAAAAGTAGATGATGTAGAGAGTGTTACACAGCGCCAACTAGGCAGAATTCTATAACTATAAAACATAAAGTAGAACACCGATATCTTTACAGAGTTCGAAGAAACTCTACTAATCTGTTGGGCCCATGTCCGTGTAATAGCCTTCCACTAAATCACTAGATGCAAGTTACACTAGTACATAACAACATGATAAGACACATTTCTCCAAATTGTTATGACAAAACTTCTAATGTTGGATTTCTAACTCGAACCCAGTTCGAATCCGCTTTGGCTATCACATCTCCACCGAGATCACAAGGACAAACATGGCTGGCACCCCTCTCCTTCAGTTCAGGTTCATCTTCTAGACATCACGCTCTCTTTAGCTTTTAAGGCCTCCTTCTTCATGTAGATTTTGACTTTCTTCACGCAAGGAAAGCTCTGGGATGCGACGGAAACGCTTTACATCAGCATATATTCTGCATTTTTTCCCTATCAACCGCTCCAAGAAATTTGTGGGATTAGCTGCGTATATATTGGCTCTTCAAACCCTAATCTTAGTAGGAATAAGTTAGTAGAAGTTGTCTTGAATATAACTTCTATAATCTTGATTCACAAGTAGCCTAAGGCCTCTAAATATTAGCTGGACTTTTTATAAATATATCCAGCATGTAGTCACAGTCCCAATAGATCCCCGACTCTAACTTTGCAAATTGTGAACTCATATTCTTGCACAGGCCTTGCTGATCCCGTCACAGAGTTTTATAGCATCTTTTGTGTCATCTTCGAGAATTGCAGCAATTCTAGGAATCTAAATGAAATAAACTCTTCCTAACAAATAAAGGTTTCTACCTAGTAAAACTCCAAACAAATAGGGATTTTTATTTTACCAAAAGATTAGCCAACATCTTGAACTAATAAATATTTGGCTATGGATTGAATTAAATGAGCTAATTTTATTAACTTAGATTTAAGTTAGGGACTTGATTAATTAGGTTTTTTTGTCTAAAGATGGTACTAACTAATTAATACATCTGGCTAATTTATTAATTAATTATTTGAAATTATTCATCTTTCTTGTCTATGAGTTAGGAAAGATAATCTAGCAAACCATTACCAAACACATTAATGAGGCTTGAAAATAGGATAGGTTAATGAAAATAAAAATAAATAGTTATTTTCTCATTATCCACATCAAAAAGATGGGGATTTTATTATTTTTTTAGTATATTTTTCCTTCTTATGTTCTTTTCCTTCAACTTTTCTTCTTTTTCTTCTCTAACCAAATAAGAAAATTATTTCTCATATATTTTTTCCTTCAACTTCTTTGAACCAAATATATAGGTAAAAGTTCTCTTACATATAATAATATTATTTCTTTGTAATTTGTAAGTGGCAAAGTTATCCACTTACTATAAATAAATGTAGTAAATGCAGCTAGAAAGAAAGTGAATATAAAAATCTTTTAAATAAAAAATTGGACAAATAAAGTAGGAGGGAGTAAGGAGTAGACCTTGCAATTGGGTCAATCGGTTCGGTTTCGGTTTGGGTCTTTTCGGTTCGGGTCTCATTCTGATATATGTTACATCGGTTCGGGTCGGTTCGGGTCAGTTTGGTTCCGGGTTTATTTTGGTTTGACTGGTTTTCGGTTTCGGCTTCGGTTCGGGTTTGTATCGGATTAGATTTATATCGGTTCGGGTTTGTATCGGTTCGGCTTCGGTTCGGATCATTTCGGGTGTTCGGTTCTATTTTGGTTCTTCAGTTTTCAGGTCAAATCAGGTTCGGTTCCGTGTTATTCGGTCCGGGTTATCGGGTCGGGTCAGTTTTGCCAGGTCTAGTAAGGAGTGATTAGGTTCCGTGCAAAAGAGGAAGAAGAAGAAGAGTGATTAGGTTGGTAGCTTTCAATTTGAACAAGACTAGCTAGCTACTCAAAGCTGTCCTTGTTTGTCACTTTCTCAAATCTAGCTATTGCGTTTGCAAGATGTGTTTACCTTCCCTTGCAATTCTTACGTCGCCATGGGCCCCACCCTTTCTCCCAATGCCCAAACCGAACTGCTTTAAATGGCTGCAAGTGAAAGCAAGTGATGGGAGGAGGAGAAAGAGTGCTTGAACAATAAGAGTAAGTTAAGGAGCGAGTTTTAATTACATACATACAATTATGGCAAAGGACTTGAGGCATGTACTTGCCGGTTGCCTCACTGCTTCTATGCTTCTAATGCTCTGCAACATGATCAAGAAAGACCATATTGATCCCCTTTTGGTACTATACTAATTAATTAACATTGCATTCAATATGTCTTTTTCTTACTTTATTATTCCTCAATACATGCATTTAGTTAATTCCATATCTGACATTTTTTGAATACATCCTTGCCTCTCGGTTGTACGATATTTTCTGTACATCCGTGATGAGTACTCATTTACGAGCAACTGATCACAATACTCATCTTTAAACAACTGAATACTCATTTTCGAGCAACTGAATACTCATTTTCGAGCATCTGAATACTCATTTCTCTCAAATTCTGCAATACTCGTAAATGAGTAATCAATTACTTGAAAATGAGTATTCAGTTACTCAAAAATGAGAATTCAAGCAGATGTACACGAAACATCATACATTGATGTCCTTTTACTAAAATAATTGTGTACTTTGTATTAAAAAAAACTATTTTCTTGTACATAAATTGTAACTACATAGTCTGTACTTTTTGACATTTTATATTAGTAGAAAGACTTTTTGAGATTTTATACTAAATCATAAAAATATTTTTTTGAATGTGGATAACTAAGTCCAAATATAGGGGCATTTGAAAGTGAATTAATTAATCTCGTGGTACTCCAAGTTTGATGCCATTTTTTACAGCAATAGCATGACTCATTTGATACTTCATTCAAATTTCACTACATTCAATTCACTATTTATATTCTCTGTTCATTTACATCAATCCTTTGTTATAACAGAATAGTTATGGTGCATCTTATTTGATACAAAATACAACATTTTGATGTAGTTTTAAAAATAATAATTTTATTTTTTTATTTTACACCAATTTACATATATATATTTAATAAAAATGATTTAGTGAAATACCGAGTATATTTTTAAATTTGAGGATGCTTCAAACTAAATCTAGTAAATCACTACATACTAATCCGTACATCTTAGAAATTAAATTTCCTTCATTTTGGAAAAAAATTTTACATTTTCTTTTTTATTTATTATTTAACTAAAATAACATATCATTTCTTATTTGCAAAGCTGATGATATAAAATTATCAATTTTCTCTCTTGCATAACTCTCAATCAATAAAGATTTCTTTTTTTAGTAATTATGTGTGTGAACAAACTTGTAACCGTTATTCGAGATAGAAGATCGAAGTAAGATGACATTAACAAATTGACAATTAATTACAAAAAAAGTTATGAATTGACAATTAGTTACAAAAAAAATTATGCGGAGAAAATCATATCCCAGATCATCCTTCAAGTATAAGCTTAATTCAATTTTTTTCGTTAATTTAGGGGGTGATTAGGGGTAGGAACTATTATTTTTATATTTGGGCCACCGAAGGTGCTTTAAACAAACTGTCGTAAGCAATTGGTGTATAAGTAAATGTTATCATCTTAATACATTCAAAGATAAATGAATGAGTTTAGTACATTCTTTATTAATTTTTTACAATAAAGATTAAATTTTTATGAACACTTTATTAGATTTTTATGATCACTTTCTTAGTACATTCAAATTAAAGATAAATGAATGAGTCTTAAATTAAAGTATGTCAAGATTCTTTTTTGGCAAAATTGACAAGAATACTCCCAGAAATTATAGATTTTACATAAATACTCCCAAATTTGTTTATTTACATCATTACTCCCACATTTTTCTTTTATTTACATCATTGCTCCCAAATTTGGTAGTGATCATTAGTGTTACTTGGATGCGTTTTTTTGCGCTAAGTGAGCAGTTAAAATACAGACATGTATTTTTTTCACTATAATATACCAAATTCACCTCAACTTATTCTCTCTATCGACTTTCTCACGTCTTAGTAAGCTTAATCATTGCCCTTATTTCCATCACTTTTAAAAAAAATCAGATTTCAAACTTCCTAAATTTTTTTAATGTTTAATATCAAGTCTGTTCGTATTAATTTAATTTGAATTCAATAAAAAAAAGATTAAGAACCCCGTTTAAAAAAATGCACCCGATGAACACTGATGATGAATGTTAAAGGGTATCCCACATCGGAACTTGAAGAGAAAATAAACCGGTATATAAGCTCTTGAGTTAAACTAACTAATCGATTGGATTCAATCTTTTAATGCAGTTCAACCCAAGTGTCTTATTGCCAAATCCAGTTGTCCATACCCATCCCAAATTCTATCATGGTATCGGAGCCAGTTTTAGTCCACCTCGTTTGTCAAGGTGTCCGTCTAGACGTTCATTCCTAGCGGCCCGTTAGTCTTTAGCCCAGTTGTCCGTATGGATGTTGTACCCAACGGCCTGTGGCCTGTTTAACACGATTGCTCGTCTGGAAGTCCATACCCAGCGGCTCGTGGTCCTTTAGGTGTTGGCGCTCAAAAAAAAAGTCAAGGGAATGGGAGTTCATTTGCAAGTGGTCAACCGGTTAGATTCAAAATGGCCCGGTTGTCCACTTGAGGGGGAGTGTTAGAGTATCCCACATCGGANATATAATGCTTTGATTGCTAATAATACATGGGATTTAGTACCTCCCTCCCCTAACCAAAATATTATCTTCGGTAAATGGCTTTTTAGACACAAACTTAGCCCTACAGGTGAACTGTCCAGGTACAAAGCCAGATGGGTTGTTTGAGGATTCAATCAGCGTCATGGCATAGATTATGATGAGACATTCAGCCCGGTGGTTAAACCGGAAACTATTCGGATCATTCTCAGTTTAGCCGTCTCACGAGGATGGCCAATTCACCAGCTTGATGTCAAGAATGCCTTCCTTCATGGCACTCTCACAGAGACGGTATACACGGCCCAGCCATCCGGATTTCAGGATCCTGCCCGACCCCACTATGTGTGCAAACTGAACAAGGCGCTCTATGGACTGAAACAAGCACCGCGGTCTTGGTATCACCATTTTACTGGCTTTCTTCTCACGCTTGGCTTTCGCGGGTGCAAGAGCGACACCTCACTATTCACTTATGGCCAGGGGTCTCAGATGGCTTTCCTACTTCTGTATGTTGATGACATTATTCTCACGGCTTCCTCGCAGGATCTTCTACAGCGGGTCATACAGCGGTTGAAGGGTGAGTTTGCCATGACAAATATGGGGGACCTACATTTTTTTCTTGGGATCAATGTTCAGCGCACCTCCAGTGGCTTGTTCCTGACACAGACTCAGTTTCTCTATGATATTCTTGATCGAGCGGGCATGCTCAACTGTAAACCGATTTCCACTCCGGTTGATACACGCGGGAAACTATCAACTTCAGGAGGAACACCTGCGCCAGATCCCTCTCTGTACCGCTCCATTGTGGGGGCCCTACAGTACCTCACCTTCACTCGTCCTGACATCACTTATGCCGTGCAGCAGCTCTGTCTCTTCCTACATGATCCACGCACACCCCATGTCACGGCCATGAAGCGGGTTTTACGATATCTTCATTTCACACCATCACATGGCATCTCCATCTCCAAATCTCCCACAGACCAGATGCGGGCCTATTCTGATGCCGATTGGGCCGGCTGCCCTGACACCCGCCGGTCCACCTCCGGCTATTGCATATTCCTTGGCGATAATCTCATTTCCTGGTCTTCTAAGCGCCAACTCACCACGTCCAGATCCAGTGCCGAGGCAGAATATCGAGCAGTAGCCAACGCCGTAGCCGAAGTCAGCTGGATACGTAATCTTCTCCTCGAGCTCCAGCAACCACTCAGTCGATCCACTCTTGTTTTTGTGATAATGTGAGTGCCGTCTACCTCTCTGCAAATCCAGTTAAGCATCAGCGCACGAAGCACATCGAGGTTGACATACACTTCGTTAGAGACCGAGTGGCTCTCGGACAGGTCCGCGTCCTACATGTCCCTTTGTCTCTCCAGTATGCTGATATCTTCACGAAGGGTCTTCCATCCATCATTTTTTCAGAATTCCGGGATTGCTTGGGCGTTCGGCGTTCCACACCAGTGCCGTTGGGAGCATGTTAAATATATAAAGTATATATTTAGTATCTTGTGTATATTTTAGTTTCCATACATGTATAGTCCTTATTAATTAAGGATTTCTAACATGGTAGGTTTCCTATTATAATTAGGAATACTCTACTATATAATATCCCTTGTATTCACACATGATAATCAATAGAAAATATTCATTCTTCACTCATGCAGATGCCAATATATGGCTAGCTATTTTACTTCTTCAATCCAAACTCTTTTTGTTTGTTTTCTTTCTTCTTTATTGGGATTCTTTTATTATTATTATTATTGGTGGGGGTGAATTTTTTTTGTTTTTTTTGGCATAGAGCTAACAATGGAGAGATTGTGTTTTGTTTATTTTAATTATCTTCTTCCCATAATTAATGACTTCGTGGACTCGATGGATGCACATGTATCACCGAGTACAATTGAACTTTTGGCATTTTTTAGAGCCACATTTGTCACTGTGCATTGACATCTTTGATATTTTGTTTTTGATTGACCTAAAATTTTATGTTTTTGCATCTTACAATGTCATGTTTGTCACTGTATGTTGTCATTTTTAGCATTGTATTTTCGACTCACACTGTATGAATTATTTTTTCTCCATGTAGCACCATGGCACTACACCTGTGGGGGTTAGTGATGCCGGCAATGTGCGACGAAAACATGAGCAAGGGGTGATGAAAGTGGCATATCTTGGCGGTGGCAAACGGTGAGTCAACAACTCCTATTTTGGGGGTTTTATGTTTTGACTCTTATAGGAGTTTAAGTTACATTTCACGTATCTACTACACAGTGTCATTGGATTTGGTTTGACATTATGTCATTGTGCAACATTGTACTCTGTAACATTATATATGCGCATATGTGGTATTATATATGGGCATCTATGGTATTATATATTGTCATATGTGACATTACATGGTGCCATGTTTGATATTATGATGTCTTTCTTTGACACTGTATTTACTATTAATGTGGCATTGTGGCGACAATGATGTAGATTGTGATGGTAGTGTTGTTGATAATGGTATATAGCAATGATATTGTCAGCGATGACGACAAAAAATCAAAGGCGTCAATGGTATGTTTCGTTTGTAGCGGTGCGGCGGAGCAGAGGACGGCAGTGGTGGAGATTCAAGTGATAGTGGCAGGTATGTGGCGGCGACGATGGCGGCGGTGGGCATCACCTTCGACGACGATTGCAGTGGTGGGCCTCGATGTCGGTAGCATGCTGTTGTGAAATTGGCCAAATTTTACCTCTGGTATTGGCCGTAAATGCAACACATGTGGGGAGTATTTTTTTTGTTTTATTAATTAAGTTAAAATCTTTATTTTAACTTTTTATAAAAAATGAAAAGAATGAAGAAAATAAAAAACATGAATGCAATAAAAATAGTCGCATGCATCTTAAAATAAATCTGCCGTGCTCCTTAAGTATAGTCTCATGCATCTTAAAATAAATCTGTTGTGCTCCTTAATTATAGGTTCATGCATCTTAAAAAACAATGTGCGTGTGGGGAGCATTTTTTGTCTTATTAATTATGTTTTACTCCTATTTAGAGGAGTTTAAGTTTGAACTCCTATTTTAAGAATATGGTATATGTTTTACTCCTAGTTTGTTTCTTCTCCCTTCAAAAAAACGGTGTATAATGACTTTTAATCCTTGCATCATTTACTCCCCAATGCCTCAAGTCCTCAACCAACCTAGATCCATTGCGCCCCATTTTTCTTCATTCTCTAACTCAACATTTTCTTATTATCCATGGAGGAGATAGGGTAAGGCAGATTGGCGCTAGTGATAGCAGATGTAAGAGAAAGATATTTTTGAAAAGTTAAAACAATTTTGACACTTCCTTAAAACTGAGTCCTGATCAAACCAGAAAGAACATTAGAGGGCAGAGGGAATATATATTTATACAAAGTAGATTGAGTTTATTTTGTATTTTTTGGTATACATTTCCTTTCTCGTCATTTACCTAAAGATAGTTTGCGGAGGTCCCTTCTCAATTATATGGGAAATGCTTGGTTCACAAACACAATCTTTACAAATTTCATAAACTTACTATTTGTGAACTTTAATAAAGAAATTATAAAAATAAGCTCGACTTATTAATTAATTAGATCCGAGTCAAAAATCCAAATTTTAAATAAAAATTTTGTAAAAAATGAGTCAAACCCGATGAACGCGAATATGACCTAACCGTCTCACCATGGTAATTTATTTTAAAATTCATGTATTTAAGTAGGAATTATTATGTGATTTAAATAATTTTATAATTTGATGACATTAATTCATCGACCTGTGTCCCTAATTAGAAGCCCAAGTCATTGAACTCGAAAGTGACCCAACAAATACTTTGCGGGACCAAATTTAGCATAGTAATAGACCGTTTCCGGTCCGCCATTGAATCCATCATCTTCATCCTCTCCTCTTCCTCAGTGAAGGCGCTGCGTGCGGACCTAACCCAACCGGGTAAGCTTTTGTTTAATTCCTCAACCAGCTTCAATTCACAGCAAAACTGTGAACTTTTTACGGCGCGTACTATAATCGAAAAATTGTAACTTCTGAAACTCAAAGATTATGTGTCTGGATCAAATCCGAAGCAATGAAATTCCAGCTTGCCCCAAAAAGAATCCGATCCTATGGGAAGAAATTGTGTAAAAATGGGTTCGAATTCGGATCTTGTCCCAGCAACCCCAAGAACTCGAGATCCAGCTTGGAAACACTGTCGGGTTTATAAAAATGGGGATAAGGTTCAAATACAGTGTGCTTACTGTGGGAAGATTTTTAACGGCGGCGGGATTTACAGAGTGAAAGAGCATTTGGCCGGCCGGAGAGGTAATGGCTCGACCTGTTCCAGAGTCGAGCCCGATGTTCAGATGGCAATGCAAGAGTGCTTGAATGCTTCTTTGATGAAGGGTAAGAAGAGGAAACGTGCCGAGGAGACAAAGGGAATTGATGGCCATAATAGTGGTGAAATTGGCATTTCTACTGACCTGTTCGAATTGTCCTTGCCCAGATCACAAAAGCGGGATCCTGCTTGGGAGCACTGTGAGATGTATAAAGATGGGGACAAGGTTCGTCTCAAGTGTTTATACTGTGGCAAGATCTTTAAAGGTGGTGGGATTCATAGGGTTAAAGAACATTTGGCTGGTCAGAAGGGGAATGGCTCCACTTGTTTGAGTGTTCAGCCCGATGTTCGGCTTTCCATGTTAGAGCAGTTGAATGAGTCTTTAGTGAAGTGTAAGAAGCAAAGCTCTGTTGACAGGACTCACAATGCAAGTTGGTTGGATGTGGAAATTGAATTGCTTCCTTTTCCGGATCCTCAAGAACAGAACGGTTGTTTACTTGGTAGTCAAGAAGAAAGAACGAACGGTAAATTGCCAGTAACTGTGATGGCCCCACTTGGTGGTAACCGGTTGGGGTCTTCGAAAGGGATAAACAATGAAGTTCATATGGCAATAGCTCGTTTCCTGCTAGATGCCGGGGTACCCTTTGATTCTGTAAATTCGCCTTTTTTCCAGCCCATGATTGATGCAATTGCTTCCCAAGGTTCCGGGGTTGTGGGACCCACTTACAGTGAACTCAGGAGCCGGGTTTTAAAAGCCTCAGTTCAAGAGCTTAGGGATGAAATTGACCGATGCGCGACCTCATGGGAAAGAACCGGCTGTTCTCTTTTGGTTGATGAGTGGACGACAGAAAATGGCAAACAGTTTATAAACTTCTCGGTTTACTGTACAGAAATGACAATCTTCTTGAGAACCGTGGATGCGTCTGACATCATCAAATCTGATGATGCTCTCTTTGAACTGCTAAAGGAGGTTGTAGAACAAGTCGGCGTTAGAAACTTACTGCAGGTAATTACCAGCAGTGAAGAGAGATATGTTGTTGTTGGTAAAAGACTAACCACAGCTTACCCTATAATTTTCTGGACTCCTTGTGCTGCAAAGTGCATAGATTCTATGCTTGAGGATATCAAAAGACTTGTATGGGTAAATGCAGTTCTTGAAAAGGTTAAAGCTTTATCAACCTTTATATACAATCACAGTGTTATTTTGAACATGATGAGGCGTTACACTTTAGGAGTTGATTTAGTCGACTTGGGACTTACCCCCTCATCAACTGATTTCTTGACGTTAAAAAGAATGGTAAATCTGAAACACAATTTACAGTCTATGGTCACTTCAGAGGAATGGATGGAAAGCCCTAAACCCAAAGGAGGTGAAGTGTTAGATTTTATCACCAGTGATTCCTTTTGGTCCAATTGCACCTTAATTAACCGCTTGACGGGCCCACTCTTGAGACTTTTGAGGGTAATTGGCTGTGCAAAGAAGCCCACAATGGGATATGTTTATGCAGGTCTATACAGAGCTAAAGAAACAATAAAGAAGGAATTTTTTGAAGATTACTTGGTGTACTGGAACATTATAGACAAGAGGTGGAAACAACTTAAACACCATCCTCTTCATGCTGCTGGATTTTACCTCAATCCGGAGTTGTTCTATAGGACAGATGAAGTTGTGAGGAATCATTTAAGATCATCAGTGTATGATTGTGTGGAGAGGTTAGTTACAGATCCTAAAGCTCAAGACAAACTTGTGACAGAAACTACTGCTTACCAAAATGCATCTGGAGATTTCGGACGGGATATGGCAGTTCGAGCTAGAGGGACTCTCTTTCCTGGTGAGTACTTATTGAAATATTTAATGAAATGTCATTCATTTTGAAGGCGTTGATTCATATGACTGGCAAGTATTCCCTCCTCCGAAAACTATCCATTAAGGAAAAGTTTTGGCATTTAACGCTATAAGCCTATAACTAATATTGTCATGAATTGCCAAGCATACCCATGAAGGGCAATTTAGTTATTTTACTATGTTTACAATTCTTGGTTTGCCTCTCTACTTTCTTAGTTGGGGTAAGGTCTGCGTACACACATTCTCCATCCCCAAACCCCACTATGCTAAATAGAAAATTAGCATCCATTGCCAATGGAGCTCAAAGAATCATTATTTACAATGTTTTGGCGATGAATAATGGAATAGATCAAATGGCACATTAAACTTCCTTTGCTTCTTCCTTTCTATAAAATTTTGAGAAACAAATGTATACATCAAGGGTCTAGTTGAAAGAGCCCTTTTGTTTTTTTAAACTGTGGTAGGGTTGTGTGCATATATTGATTCCTCGTACCCCAACTCTGTTGGGATTACGATGGGTTTTGTTGTTGTTGCTAAATAGAAAATCATCTAAGAACAAATTTCTTTGGTTTAAATGTTCAATGAACATTTATTGAGAACAGAGGGAGTGAGTAATTGAGTACCCTTCATCATCTCATCATTATGAAACTCCATCCGTTGCACAAAACTTTGCAAAGTTTTTTTGGCACAAAGGAAAGATTCAGAAAATGAAATTTGTATGTTTGAGATATAATTATGAATCCCAATCCCCACAAATTTCATTCCTTAAAGGAAATATGAAAAGCTTTTTGGGTAAGATGAAAACTTCACAAGTATATTAGTGCAAAATCAATTCTTTATCGAAATGGGGTATTTGATCGTTGAAAACACTAATCCATTGATTTACTTTCATGAACTAAAGGTGAGTGGTGGTCAGCATTTGGAGGGGGCTGCCCAAATTTGGTTCACTTTGCCACCAGGATTCTCAACCAACCATGTACTTTGATAAGCGGCAAGCCAAACAGGGTTTATTTTGAGTGGATTAACAGAAGAATGAACAGCATAGAGCACGCCAGGCTCAACGACCTTGTCTTTCTACGGTCTAATTTGCGCATGAGGTAAGTATAACTATATGTTGGTTTTTTTAAGAAGGCCTTCCTAAAGTAGTGCCTGTTTGGTAACACCCAAAATCTGATAAGCCAGAATAGGTGGTTACCAAACAGGCCTCAAAGCCTCTCAAATGTGTAAATAAATCTTCTTGACCAACTTCTTCTGTAGGGGACAAATGAAGAGAGGAGAGAACCACCAGTGGGACCCCATTGCATATGAAAACATAGCTCTTGCTGAGGACTGGGTTTCTGGTAAGGGGTTATACTCGGATGACTTGGGTCGTTCGGATTGGGCTGCCGTCGATCCACCTATAGGCAATGGGCTGCTCTCCGGGCCTGCAATTGACGACGAAGATCCATCGGGTTCAGGTTAGCCCAACTTTCAAACTAAAATGCGAAAAAAGAAGGAAAAAAACAAAATAAGTTGATGGCATTTGATTTTATCTTGTGATGATCAGGTTTCAATGATTGTGAGATTTGGGATTTCTGATGGGCTGAAAATTTGCAAAGAAGAAAAAGTTGAAGGGGCATTTTTTCTGCAAAAATGGGTCTAACAGGAAACTAACTTAGGCAAATTCGTATGTGCTGCAAATAAGAATTATGAACCTTGTTATATATGCATAATATATTAAATAGATGAGCATTAATTAGTTTATTAGTAACTTACTTTAATATTTTTTTTTATCATGGAAAGGTCATGGAATGCGTTATCGACAACGTTTTGGGTTGAGATAATTAAATGAAATAAATGAAAATGACACATTAAACATTTGTTGTTTACTACGTAACATTTTATTCTTTCTTCACTCTCTTGTTTTCCTACATACATACGCCATGTGTTGATACATGCACTTATGTTCAAAGAGACAAAAAACAGACATTATACTCCACCAAAAATTGTCCCCAGCTTTCTAAATAAAAACAAATGGTTTTATTGACCTCAAGTGTTGCTCCATGCCCCCAACAATAATGTCACATTGCTCTCCCTTCCTCATATAACTAACACAATCCTCCTACACTTGCCACCTCCTATATGTACATGTATGTGTGTGTGTGTATATATATATAATTTAGTTAGGAGTATTTATTTATACATTTTAAAAATAACATATACGGAGTAGTTAGGACGATAAATATTTAAAAATATGGGACCCTAAAAAATTAGAGACCTCGTACAGATGCACATGCCGCTTCTGGCTTGTGGAGAGCAAACTAATTCCTACACCGGATGAAGTTAAAGTTCACCTAACTTGAGTTGTATTATTTTTCTGCGAGCTACTGAAAAATAAATTTTCTAGAATTTGTCTAAGAACGGATAACATCATGTTAAAGCAAACTAACCAAGCACTCATGTATGTCAATTATTAAGTGCATATGAAATACGGAGTATTTCACAAGAAGGATATGCTAAATCATACAAGAAGGGATAAATAATGATGGGATCATGTGAGATTTGACCTTTTTTGTTTTTCCATTCAAAAACAATACAGTACCAAAACAACACATTTTTATATTGTGTGCGCTTTTTGATCATTAAGTACCAAAATTGTAACTTGAAACTATTATAAAAAATACCGCTCAAACTGATGAATATTGATACTCCCTCTGTCCCAAATTATTTGTCACATTTGCTTTTTCAACAGTCGCATGAACTTTTGTTTATTTCTACGTTTTCATTGGTTATTTGATAAAATCAAATATTCTTGACACCTCTTATTTCGAAGAACTTTTCATATAGTTTTTTTATATGTAATTTTTATTTTTTATTTCTTTACCAATATGTAAATAAAATGAATTGAAAAAATTGATATTTTGCCTCGGTAATAGAAATGTGACAAATAATTTGGGACAGAAGGAGTAATAAATTTTCATTTTCTCTATTCATAATGCATTTTTTGTTAACGGGCTGGACCTACCATTTAAAGTTCTTGCCATCGTCGAGCTTGAACCGCTCATGTGGAATGTGTTTGATCTGCCAAAGTCAATTCCAAGTCCTGCAATATGGATTGGTCTCATCACATATCTCAACTACATGACAAGGAGTCACTAGGTGGATGGATTTTCAGATGAACAATCGAGTTAAATGAGCCACAAACCATTTTTCACACGGAGGCTAAAGACAAACACGTCGCTGGAAATGAACGTCAATACGAGCACCTTAATTGACAAACGAGGTGGGCCTAAATCCCTTATTGATACCATGTCAAAAACTAATTTAACTAAAAGTTCAAATTTGTGATTATAGGGCTAAGATATAATTTTATACTCTAATATGTCAAATGGACCACATGCATATTTTTTGATCTAAATGTTTGAATCAAAAAAGCAAGAGGGTGATTGAGAAGGTCCATGATTAGTGGAACCTATTAGAGTACATCCCACATCGAAAATCTAAGAGTAAAATAATTGGCATATAAGCTCTAGAGTTGAACTAATTAATCGATTGGATTCAATCTTTTAATGTGGTTCAACCCAAATGTCTTATTGCCCAATCCACTAATCTCTACCCCATCCTAAATTCTATCATGGTATCAGAGCAGGTTTTGGCCCACCTCGTTTGTCAAGGTGTCCGTCTAGACGTTCATTCCTAGCGGCTCGTTTGTCTTTAGCCCAGTTGTCCGTATGGAGTATGTACCCAACGGCCTGTGGCCCGTTTAACACGATTGCTAGTCTGGAAGTCCATACCCAGCGGCTCGTGGTCCTTTAGGTGTTGGCGTTCAAAAAAAAATTAAGGGAATGAGAGTCCATTTGCAAGTGGTCAACCGGTTAGATTCAAAATGGCCCGGTTGTCCACTTGAGAGGGAGTGTTAAAGAGTATCCTACATCGGAACTTGAAGAGGAAATAAACCGGTATATAAGCCCTTGAGTTGAACTAACTAATCGATTGGATTCAATCTTTTAATGTGGTTCAGCCCAAGTGTCTTATTACCCAATCCAGTACTCCATACCCATCCTAAATTTTATCATGGTATCAGAGCCAGTTTTAGCCCACCTCGTTTGTCAAGGTGTCCGTCTAGACGTTCATTCCTAGCGGCCCGTTAGTCTTTAGCCCAGTTGTCCGTAGGGAGGTTGTACCTAACGGCCTGTGGCCTGTTTGACACAATTGCTTGTCTGGAAGTCCATACCCAGCGGCTCGTGGTCCTTTAGGTGTTGGCTCTAAAAAAAAAGTCAAGGGAATGGGAGTTCATTTGCAAGTGGTTAACCGATTAGATTCAAAATGGCCCGGTTGTCCACTTGAGGGGGAGTATTATAGTACTTCCCACATCGGAAATCTAAGAGTAAAATTATCGGCATATAAGCTCTAGAGTTGAACTAACTAATCGATTAGATTCAATCTTTTAATGTAGTTCAACCCAAGTGTCTTATTGCCCAATCCACTAATCTCTACCCCATCCTAAACTCTATCAGAACCGCTCTCATGTTCTTTATTTTAACACAATGTCATGAAATCATGCCCGCTTTTCATTTACATGCCACCCAAGCGAGAGATTAGACTTAAACTGGCATTATTAGAGATACTTTTATGGTCTGATCATTCATATTTTGCCATTGTCTAATGCTACTTTTTCCCAACTTTCTCTCTCATTCATTCCAAATAATTTTATCTTTTTCTCTTCCTCCCTGTTTTTGAAAACAAGATATTTCCGAATGAATAAATTCTTACAATACTCATCTTATTTTTCCACAACTTTTCAATGCTTTTCTTATGAGAAATCAAAATGAATTCTTCAAGAGTAAATTTCTACAAATAGATGGAGTGCACATAAAGAAAGTCTCACAAGGGGGAACCTTTGGCATTCCAAGTCCAAAGGAGTGACCACTTGATGCATGATTCTTTAGGCAAGCTTAAGGTCTATCCATTTGCTTTCAAATCCTAATAGAATAGCAATTGACTTGGGAAAAAATATATAGTACCACTTTCCCTTCTCTTCTTTTTTTCCAAGAAAAAAAACTTGTAGTCATATCAATCAAATCATCAATGAACTTAATAAAAGCAGCAATTGGCCCGCCAATATAGACCAAAAAAAGAAATCCTCCAGCAAAGTAAATGAAATTTGCACTTAAAATCAGAGACTTGGCCTACCAAAATGGACTTTCCATGAAATAAAAAAATTAATATTTGGAGTATATCCAGTGAAGTGGTGGCAAGCAAAGCATACATAAATTTAAGTACAGATGAACCTACCCATCCCTCTTCAGACATGGGTTTTAGAGGATAAAGTAAACCCTTGCTTAGAAAAACTTTATGTTAGAATTATGAAGTTTGAATTAAAATTATTTTTAATTTCATTCATTTTTAAATTAGTACAAAATAAAAAATGTACTATGTAGTTTTTATAATTTTAGATTTTACTCTGTCCCAAAATAAAAAAATTACAAAATATAACATTGTCCTCAAAATAGAAATTGCACAATTTTATCTCTAAAATAGAAGTTTATACTTTGACATGATAATATTGTATCATCCCGCTGTATTTTTTTAGTACTCCGTATTATATAGTGACATTACTGTCACTGTACTCTTATTCTTATTTAGGAGATAAAAAACATAAAATTAATATTTTGATATTCTCTACATGGTTTTACTTTCAGTTTAGTCCATGATTTTACTACACTATCAACAGATCAAATATTTTCTTCTCCATTTACTTATTTTTTTGTCAATCATTAGTTAAAATATTCTTTTTTATATACAAATATTACTTTTGAATGGTTATCAATATTTAAATAAATTGAATTTAAAATAAAATTAGTCAAATTTCATTATTGGCAATGAGAAAAAAGTTTTGACGAGATGGAGAGAATATATCAAAATCAAATAAATTAAAAATAAATTCGAGCACATAAATGCCTGTAAAACTAAATCAAAATGTTACCTTGTTTGGAAAAGAACTTTCAATTGCATCTTTGCCATCTCTAGCTTGGCTTGTTATTCCCATTGTCACAAAATATAACATCAAGGCAAAATAAAGAACTAATTACGGAGTATAATAACAATTGAACGCAAGGATATATAGAGCACATAATCATAATAATAAGATACAACAAAAGTTTGACATTTTACAAATCAAGAACCAAAAACCTAAAACTCATAAAATAACAACGAAAATATGAGACCGATGATTCACAAGAGATTATAGGGAAATGAAAACCAGCCAAAAGAGAGAGAGAAGGGGGGGAGAAGATGAGCGAATCTCCCTCGCCCCTGTTAGATTAATACGGCGGCGGAGGAGGGCGCCAATGGGCCGCCGCTTCATGGGCAATTTGGGCATTGTGCAACAAGTTGGGTGGCAAGTTGTACAACGAATCAACCAAAGGATGAGAATGTGGGGCCGACGGGGCAATCTCCACCGCCCCTCCTCCTCCCATCCGGCCTTCGTCCGCCGGATGATGCGGCGGCACCGCCTCCTCCTCCTCCACCTCCAGTGGCAGCCTTTGGTAGGCCGCGTTCATGTACGTGGCGGCAATCACCACCACCGGACCGGAAGCCACCAGCGCCCCCATCACATTCCCTCCCAGCACCTGCCCCTGCCCGCCCGCCAAGTAAACGGTCAGCCCCGTGGTCCTGAGGGGCGACGGGGACGGCAAAAACGCCCCCGACAAGGACAGTATCTCAAACTTCCCGTGCAGCGTCACCACGCCCTCCGGGGCATTGAGCTGCCGGAGAGTGACGTCAGCCACCACCCCGGTGCCGCTCAGCACCGACACGCCGCGGTGGCAGCGCTGGGCGAAGGTGGAGATGCAGTCCACTATGTCACTCCCACTGCTGATCTCCAGGACATGGCTGTGGAGGGAATTGGGGCTTTCCTTGGTGATCACAATTGGGGGTTTGGGTTTGTTCTTAGATCCGGGAGGCCGGCCCCGGGGGCGGCGGCCGGAGCTGCCCGGTTCAGAGATGACAAGTGCCCCCTGCCCCACAGTAGGGTTCAATTCATGGTTATTCCCATCACTGCTGGTGTCCGCCATGAAATCTTGCTCCCTTCTCTTCTCTTCTTCATCTTCTTCCTCGCCACTGTTCCTCATGAGATGCAGTTCTGGATCCCCTCCTCCACCCACCCCCATCTCATTCATTGCCACTACATTCCCAGTCCACCACCTATTAGCCATATATGGACAGCTTTTCTCTTCAATTTCACACTTTGACCAAAATATAGAGAGATAGAGAGAAGAGAGGGAATTTACAATTTTGCCCCAAGAAGACTACTCTTATCTCCAAGTTCTTGAAACAAGGCTCAGAGAAAGAAAATCAGAGCTTTAAATAGTTACCCAAATCACACTCAAACCCAGAAGCAAAAGCAAAAACCCTATAGACAGAAATTTCTCAGGGAACTGAAAAAAAAGTACAAATCTTTATGCCCACTGGAAGCTTTTTACCATGGGAGGGAAAGGAATCAAGATCATTACAGATTGTTGAAGGTAGGGGAGCTGATGAGATCTGAGAGGGATTTGGAACAAAGAAAGAAAACCCTTAGCTTATTTATGATCAGACTTTCATTTCGTCATCTTCTTGAGAGATTCTTGAGACCGACCCACATCACACAGTTCCCAAGAAAACAAAAAATCAAAGGAAAAGGGTCATCAACAGTGAAAAATGAGCTGTTTGCAGAGGTAAAACTTGTACTCTCACAGATCTTCTGAGCAAGAAAAGTGGTATGGAATAAGAAGGGGGAAAAAGAGAGAGAAAGATGGAGATGAGTGAGTATTAGTAACCTGTAGGGCTGTATCTATCTATCTATCAGATCAGATTCAGTTGGTACGGGCTGTGGCTTTGTGGGTCACACTCGTTTTTATACCCATGATGAATGAAGGAGGGAGTTGTTGGTTTCTTTCCTTCTCTATCTTTCTCTCACGGTTTTTTTCTCGAACAGGTGGTGTGGCGTGGTGTACGAACCACAACTTGACTAGATATTATAAGGGTATTGTAACTCATAACATGACAATATTTCAATTGGGGCATCTACGTGCTCCGTTTATAAAATTAATGTGGAATAGTTTTAATTCTGAATCAACTCATTTCTAGTTCGAGTGTTGACCCTTGTGTTTTGAATGTAAAGAATTTGACTCAAATCCAAATTCAAAATGCTTAGATTTCCCAAACATGGAATTTAAGTCAAATCCGGATTTGAAATCCAAATTCATGTTCCCAAACGTACCATTGATGATATTGAACTGGTTTATCCTCTTCTTAGGGGAATAGACTAAGGGGGTGTTTGTTTTTTCTGTAGGAAAAGGTCTGCAGTCTACAGACCACTACTGTAGACATCTGCAGGAGAAGTGGTGGACCGAAGGTCTGCGGTCTGCAAGAAGAAGACTGTTTGTTTTTTAATGTCTGTAAATTGCTATATAAATTAATGGTAGTAGTGTACGGTGGTGGTGTATGGACGATTGTGGTGGTGGTGGAGGGTGGTGGTGAAGGGTGGTGGTGGAGGTTG